TATGTTCACAGGGTCCCAGTTACATCCAACAATAAAATGTAAAAGAAGAACAGGGATAAGATCTAAGATTAAGAAAAACATCAACTAAATATACACTAAGCACTAATAGCATAAACACAATAAAAACAAAACGCCGATCAGCAGCATGAACGTGTTGTTTTATAAACCCTGGATGGGGGGTCTCCTGGCCCTGCAGCGGTCTCACTGGCTTTAGAAGGTGCGTTGTAAGAAACATCTTCAGGTTGCTCTCACACAGCTGCAATTCCCCATACTCATGTGTTGTACCTCGTTTCCCTTCGTCCTGGAACATTGCTAATGTTCATAACTTCCTGTTTCCTGTCTACAAGCTTTAAGTCTTAAAAGCTCAACGTTGTGTTTGTTTGCTTGTCTTCAGTTTAAATGTGCTGTATAAATAAATCTGACTTGTCTTAAGCCCTTACACGGTGACTCATCATTTTTCCTAGGTGAAGAAGATCGGGGGCGGTGGGTTTGGGGAGATCTACGAGGCACTGGACCTACTGACGCGGGTCAGCGTGGCGCTGAAGGTGGAATCAGCCCAGCAGCCCAAACAGGTGCTGAAGATGGAGGTCGCTGTCCTGAAGAAGCTGCAGGGTGAGTGCAAATGGATTCTCTGGATTCAGTTACTCGAACGGATCAATCGTCTCTGACACCGTGACCCATGGAATCCTTCCAAATGGACGCTGATCCTGTACATCGTGGGACCACTACTGACGAGAAGAACTTGTCTGTTGCAAGTCTCTCTGGCAGCACAGGAAATATCAGTAGTACTTGAAGATCCCAACTTCCTGATGGGGACATAATCTAAGACCAGATAAACATCTGTTTTTCTTCTTCTTTCGGCTGCTCCTCCTTCAGGGGTCGCCGCAGCGAACTGAGTCACACCAAGACTTGGAGACTGTTTTTACTCCAGATGTTCTTCCTGACCAACCACAGACACCGAGCGACCACAGCCTCTGTGTGGACCAGAGAGCTGCATCTAGGGCGCCTGGGGGAGCAGACGGTGGGGGTTAAGGGCCTTGCTCAAGGGCCCAGAGTGGGCAGATGAAGGTGGAGGCAGGTGTGGGTGCTTCACCTACCCCACCCACATTTTGTTGTTGTCGGTACGGGGAGTTGAACCGGCGACCTTCCGATCACAGGCCCACCTTGTCTAACCTCTGCGCCACCACTCCTCATAAACATGGTGTCTCATGTGAAGACGTGATGTAGCGAATTGTTCATGAAGGTTAACTTTGGTCTCAACGCACCTGTGCCGTTCGACTCTGAGGCGCTGACACAGGTGCTGCTTTAATGTTGAAGGTTTCAAATGTCGACACCAGAAGAGCACGCGTGAGAAACAGAATCAACACGAGAACTCCATCAGGAGATTTTAAACACGTTTCTTCTGCGCCCTCTTTCCTTGCCTCTTAACCGCCACATTGTGTTTTCCCTCGTTGCCATCTGAGAAAGAAATCAATGGTCCGGGATCATGTTTGCTGTGTAATGGCCTTGGCCTGGGGCTTCGTGGTTCTCCTGCATCCTGAGGAGCCAGCATGTAACCTGAGCCCACCAAACTCTGCTGACCTGCCCGCTTGTCAGAAGACAGCATTAACCCCTCAAGTGAACACTGGTACACCGTGTCATTCTCGCTGTTTTAATGTGACTGCTGTCTTATTAACAACTCGATGACAACACAGAACATTAGGGTGGAAATCTTGAGGCGTTAATATTTAGAACATTTAGGAGTTTTACATAAACACATTTAAACCATTTGAAAATGGGCTCTTGCTTGGCTAGTCATTAGCCTAGCCTGGACGAAGATCTGTGTCCTGTCTCCATAATCCATGCTCTATGATTGATGAGAAGCTTCATACAGTGATTAGATGTTTGCAGAGGTCGTGCTCGATAATCCAACACTAAAACAAATCCAACACTGGACGGAGGACCTGACTTAGATTGGACATATCGTGACCACAGAAACACCAGCTTTAGCCTTTAAAGTGTAAGCACAGATTAACATGAAGAAACTAGATTTCTAACTGTTCACATAGATTCAGAAACTTCTTTGTCCACAATGTAACGTGTCAAAGTGATTTTTGCTCCATCTCTATAAAATGTATATACATTAGTAATGTCCTGATGCATGCTCAGTGATCCAGCTGGAGAAATGGAACAAGGTTGTGAGGTGCTCTTCAACAAAGAAGAATCCGTCCAGACGACCTCACGTAACCTTGTTGATGCATTAGTCATGTGTTTTATGACAAACATCTTGTTTGTGCTGAAAGCCTTTGGACTGAGGCTGCAGTCAACTTGACAATGCAGTAGTGTCCTCTGAGACCAACAGCGTGCATGTTTTCACTTGTTGACATTCGTGCGCACGTGTTGACCTGCTGTGCTAATCAATAAATGAAAAAGAGTGGATGTTGATGGAAAGGCAGGACATAGACTCAGACGAACTCCCTGTGTCTCACACTGAATGATGCTGCTGATGTGAGGCTGTGAACTGATCCTGACCAAGCTTTGCCCCGTGTCTCCCAGGGAAAGACCACGTGTGTCGCTTTGTGGGATGTGGCCGCAACGATCGCTTTAACTACGTGGTGATGGAGCTCCAGGTCAGTCCCACTAACGAGGATAATGTTATGGTCAGCACTCCCTTTCAGAAGACCGTTTGATTCTCAGTAAGATCATTTATGACAAACCAAAGGTTCAACAATTATCATTTGCTTTGCAAAACATTTCTGTGCTTGTTCCAGTCTTTAGACAGAGCCTGCACTGTAAGACATAGTCACAATGATTGATCAAAATGGGTGTTCCACAAGGTTAAGGCTAATTAAAGGAACATGACATTTTATTTGATGTACCTGGAAAGTGTTAAGCTGTTCAGTGACATGTTGCATGGTTCAGTACATGGTTGTTGCCCACTGCCAAGGGGCAATAATGTTTTTGCTCATTTCAGTGTGTGGGCATGTGTTTGTTTGCCTGTCTGTTAGCAAAATATCTCATGATCCACTGAACAAGCTTTAATGAAAGTCTCAAAGTATTAATTGAATGTACATCTTTGGTTAACTTTTGGAGACAGTTCCATTTAAGATGGCCACCACAGCTAAGCAAACTTAGCAAACACAAAGTTACAACTCAAACCGTGATAAAATGTAGAGTGGTAGTAGCTGAGCATCATCAGCAACACACGTCAAGTGATACTCATTGCACACCATCTCTGCTTCAAACTTGTCTGCTGGCTCAAAGTCTCATAAACAACTCAAGGTTTTTATAGAAACTTTCAGACAAATAATAATTGGATGTGCATCTACAACTATTGATTGATTATCTTTGGGCTTTATCTCACATCAAAATGGCCGCCACAGTTGGCCAACACAACTTAATCAGACGGACACATATTGAGCTTGATGCGAGTCGTAATCTAAGACACACCTGAGAAGATTATTGAGCCTACAAATCTATCTAAGAAGATCTTACCATGTTGCCTGAGACTGTGCACGTGTCATAGGTTGAACTAAAACAGCTACAGGTCCGTCATTTCTGAACACAAGACGACTGTACTTTAAAACGTGATCATAAAACGTTATCATAAAACGTTATCATAAAACGTGATCATAAAACGTGATCATAAAACTTGATCATAAAACTTGATCATAAAACTTGATCATAAAACTTGATCATAAAACGTTATCATAAAACGTGATCATAAAACTTGATCATAAAACGTTATCATAAAACGTTATCATAAAATGTTATCATAAAACTTGATCATAAAACGTTATCATAAAACGTTATCATAAAACTTGATTATAAAACTTGATCATAAAACGTTATCATAAAACGTGATCATAAAACTTGATCATAAAACGTTATCATAAAACGTTATCATAAAACGTTATCATAAA